ACCCATAGAGGAGACAGACGTGCGTAAGAATGCCTTTAGGACAAGGTATGGTCATTACGAGTTTGTGGTTATGCCGTTTGGTTTGACGAATGCGCCAGCTGCATTCATGAAGTTGATGAATGGTGTATTCAGAGAGTACCTAGATGAATTTGTGATCATTTTCATAGATGATATTCTAGTATACTCAAAGGATAAGGAAGAGCATAAGAGTCATTTGCGGACTGTTCTGGAGAAGTTGAGAGAACAGAAGTTATATGCCAAGCTCAGTAAGTGTAGCTTTTGGCAACAGCATATAGGGTTCTTGGGTCACATTGTTTCGGATAAGAGAGTGTTCGTGGACCCAGAAAAGATTCAGGCTATTGCGGATTGGCCCAGACCAGAGAACGCTACAGAGATAAGGAGTCTTCTCGGACTAGCTGGTTACTACAGGCGATTTGTCAAAGGTTTTGCAAGCATGGCTCAGCCAATGACATAGCTGACTGGTAAAGACGTGGAGTATGTCTGGACGGATGAGTGTGAAGAGTGCTTCTCGAAGTTAAAGGAGTTACTCACTAGTGCACCAGTATTGGCGTTACCAGAACAGGGTGAGCCATACGTGGTATACACGGATGCATCCAGGAAAGGACTAGGTTGTGTTCTGATGCAGAATGGAAAGGTGATAGCTTATGCTTCGCGGCAGCTACGGAAGCATGAAGGAAACTACCCTACGCATGATTTAGAGATGGTGGCTGTGGTATTTGCACTTAAGATATGGAGATCTTACTTGTATGGGGAAAAGGTGCAGATATACACGGACCATAAGAGTTTAAAGTACATCTTTACTCAACCGGATTTGAACTTGAGACAGCATAGATGGATGGAGTTGGTAGCGGACTATGACTTGGAGATAGCATACCATCCAGGAAAGGCCAACTTGGTGGCGGATGCGTTGAGTAGGAGAAGGGCTAGCCTGTCATCTGAACAGAATGTTGGAAGCATTGTGAACATGCTAAGGACATTGCAGCTGAATGCAATAACGGATGGGGTTGAACCGTTGGGTTTGAAAGCTGCGGATAGAGCTGACTTGTTGACTAGAATTCGGATTGCTCAGGAGCAGGATGAGAATCTGAAAAAGGTGTCACAGAATGACAAGACAGTATATCAGACTTCAAACAATGGGACCATTGTTGTGAACGGACGGGTCTGTGTTCCAGCTGTGAAGGAGTTAAGGGATGAGATCCTTAAGGAGGCACATCAGTCAAGGTTTTCTGTTCATCCGGGAATGACCAAGATGTATCAGGATTTGAAACGGTACTATCATTGGGTTGGGATGAAACGGGATGTGGCTAAGTGGGTAGCCGGATGTGAGACGTGCCAATTGGTTAAGACAGAGCATCAGTTTCCAAGTGGTTTGTTGCAAACGTTGCCAATGCCGGAATAGAAATGGGACATGATCACCATGGACTTTGTACTGGGGTTACCTAAGACTAGGAAGTTGCATGACGGGATATGGGTCATTGTGGATCGTTTGACCAAGTCTGCTCACTTCTTAGCAATGAAAAAGATGGACGGAGTACCAAAGTTAGTGGACATATATATTGATCAAATCGTGAAGTTGCATGGAGTGCCAGTGAGTATCATCTCAGATCGTGATCCGAAGTTTACTTCAAGGTTCTGGAAAGAGTTCCAGGAAGCGTGTGAGTACAGCGTATCATCCTCAGACTGATGGGCAATCAGAACGGACGATCAGAACATTGGAGGACATGTTGAGAGCGTGTGTACTGGACTGGGGTGGTAGTTGGGAAGACTACTTACCGTTGGCTGAATTTGCATACAACAATAGCTACCAAAGGAGCATTGAGATGTCTCCGTATGAGGCGTTGTATGGCAGGCCGTGCAGGACACCATTGTGTTGGACACAAGTGGGGGAGCATAGCGTAATGGGGCCAGCAGTGATCGAGGCTACTACATAAAAGATCAGATTGTTAAAGTTTAAGCTGAAAGAGGCTATGGACAGACAGAAAAGTTATGCGGACAAGCGTCGCAGGGACTTAGAGTTCAGTGTGGGTGATATGGTTTATCTTAAGGCACTGACTTATAAGAGAACGGATAGGGCAGCTAAGAGTGCCAAGTTGAATCCGAGGTACATTGGGCCATACCGGATATTAGAAAGAGTTGGCGCAGTGGCTTACAAGTTAGATTTGCCATCAGAAATGGGAGCGTTCCATAATGTATTCCATGTGTCACAGCTGAGAAAGCACATTACCGAATGGGAAACGGTTATAGAGGAACCACCAGCAGACTTGCAAGAGGACCTTGCAGTAGTGGCTAGACCGCTCCGGGTGTTAGGTCGGAAAGAAGAGACTAAGCATGGGAAGCTGGTCATAATGGTTCAGGTCGTATGGGACTGCGACGGACAGGAACAGGTTACTTGGGAAAATGAGGCTAGGATGAAAGCTGAGTATCCCAAATAGTTTGACAAGTTGCAAACGGATGAGTCGGATTCAAGGACAAATCCAGAACGGGTGGAGGAGAGTTGTAGCATCCGTATCCGAGAAAATGTGGAATGATCGTACCGGACAGGGCAGTGTCCGAGGAATGATCGAGCCAAGGGTCGAGTATGGGCTGGGAAATGGAGGTTCGGACTATGGTCGGGTGTTGACCGGTGAAATAGTCGGATATGGGCTGGATAGCCGAGCCGGATGGACCATATCCGAGGGAAAACAGGGTCCAGTCCGTGGGAAATGGGATTTATCCGAGTGCAGTGGGATATATCCGAGAGTCTGGGAGGTTAGTCTGAGTGTCAGTGGACTGTCTCCGAGGGGGAAAAGGAAACCTCCAAGAGAAATAGAGGATTAGCCGAGGCGGGACGAGTTGTCCGAGAGGAAAAGGAAAATCCGGATGGAAAATGGAAAACACCTCGGATAAGGGCGGTTTATCCGAGTGGGAAGGGATTTGGGCCGTGGGCCAAGTGTTAGGTCGGTTATTTTGGGGTTTATCGAGTGGATGGTCGAGCCGGTACAGGGAATAGCCAAGGAAAATCAAATCGGACCGGGATAATCCTACTGGAACCAGGAAAACGTCGGATAAATCCGGGTTACCTAGGGTTTTGCGAGTATATAAGGGAATTTGAGACTTAACTCGAGGGTGTTGCGTTTATTTGAGCTAAATAAAGCAAAGAGAGAGTTTAGTCAAGAGAAAACCCTAAAAAAATCAGTTTATCCCGAGGACATCCGAGAGAGATCAGGCTATCGCCGAGCAGAACCGACCATCGCCGAGATAAACTGGTAAGCGATCGGATATTTCCCTAAGTGTTAAGTTTTCATCGGATAACCTCGAGCTAATAGCCTTGTTTTGTGGGGTTTCTGAGGGAAAACAGAGTTTGGCTCGAAGAAAGGTGAACGGATCGAGAGATAGTCGAGGAGATAAGGATCGGATCGTACGGACAGCCGAGAGATTCTTAAGGAGATCGGATATCTTTGTTTTGGTGCAGTTTTCATCGGGATTTCTTTTGACCAATCTGTTTCCAGCCTTGTCTAAGGTGAGTGCGTGACTGTGGTTGGTGTCTAGGACCGTAGGATTGCTAGGGTTGGATGTTTGCATGTTGATTGTGTGATTTTCATGTTATGTGTTTAGAACTGATAAGCAATCTTTATGTTATGATATATTGTGGAGTTTACCGTGGCATATATGATGTTTAGCTAACCTCAGGGTAATCCGGATCATGTACTAGCTTAGGGGATGTGGGATTCTCGCTGAAGTAGACATGAGTCTTAAAAAGGGATTGATCTTGGTTGGTTAGGCTAGATGTTCATGGCCGTTGATATTGTTATGTCTATTGCGAATTGATTGTGTTGAATGTTGAATCCGAAAGTATGATTGTGTGTTTGGTACTGACCAGGTGTTACGGGATGATCGTACTCACTAAGTATTTATGAAATACTTATGCCTCTTATCTTGAGTGTGCAAGTACTAAGCAGTAAAGGGGCGAGACCAGGCGGCAGTGATGGATATGGATGGATCGGGGCTGGGTTTTATTTATGTTTAAGACGTTGTGCTTTGTCTTATGGCTTTGGTGTTTGACTATTTAGGTTGCTAGATGATCGTTTGTATTCATTAGCGAACCATTGTGATTTGTTTAAGTTAGCTTTGAATCCTGTTTAAGTATTTTATGAAAGTTAAATGAATGAAATGAGTTGCTTTATATTCTGCTGTGTATTGATAAGAAAGAATAAGTTTAAAGAAAAGTTCAAAAATATGGCTAAGTATAGAAACGGACTTAAAAGATGTAGTGGGACACAGCCGCGGTACAGTTTACCGGGTTGAGTTACCACACAATCACATGTTAGATTTCTGATAAAGCAGAGTCACAATATTTTTCAAAGATCTGCGTACAGAATGTTTGATATAATTGGATCTACTGTTCAGAACTACAGCTTGGACACATCAGATAAAACATGAGATTTGCAAGAAAACAGTTCAGCCAAGAAATACTGCATTCAAATCATTAGAGGAAAATCAAATATAAAGTTGGAAATAACCGAATTTATTATTGGTTAGCGAATAAAATTACTTTTCGAAAAGCATCCTCAAACTCCATTTTACTGTATTTTTCTCAGTATATAGCACATACATTTGCGTATATAATAATTTATGCTTCAGTATTTCTGTATAATATCTCTGTAATCAACACTTTTTGAAATCAGCAAAACTGTTTTAGACAAAAAAAAAAATTTAAATCACCCATAAAATAAATAAATAATTATAATTGACCGCCATAATATAAAGGTAATCTTAATTAGCTCTTTTTCTCCTTTGTCTTCACATTCAAACTTTTATTTTATATAAATGGGTTCCGTGTTCACCAAGTGGTTCTTTCTTCTCAAAGGTCTTAAACGAAAACGCGCAAAATCCACCTTTTTGACGTTTCTTACTTATTGTTGACGGTTTCTTACTTATATTCCCCGACAAATGTCTTTCTCTTTTTCTATTTTCATCTTCTTCTTCTTTCACTTTCGCACTCTCCATTCCCAAACCCTTTTTCACTTTCCCAGCATTTCCACAACATTTCCGCCACTTTCGGTGTTTAAGTTTGCATTTTCTCTTCGTAAGTTTCTACAAAAAATCCAGTTTTTGTTGAAGATTCCGGCAAAAAGCTTCAATCTTTTAGTCTTTTCTGAGTTGCTTTCGAATTTCATCAGAAGAGAAAAGAAATGGCCGGTGGTGGCGGAGGAGGAGAAGCGGCGGCGCCGCCAAAACAGGATGAGCTCCAGCCACATCCGGTGAAAGATCAACTTCCTTCTATCTCTTATTGCATCACTAGTCCTCCTCCTTGGCGTAACCCCTCTTCTCTCCTAATTACACATCTTTAATCATTAATCATTTGTGCAGAGTACTCTGTAATTAAGAAGCTAGAAGATTGTTCTTTTAACCGTTTTTTTTTCGATCAGCGGAGGCGATACTTTTGGGTTTTCAGCATTACTTGGTGATGCTTGGAACAACGGTTCTAATACCAACATCGTTAGTTCCACAAATGGGTGGAGGAAACGTAAGTCTCAAGTCTCAACCAATTCCGTTTACATTTGAGAAAAGCTCTGTTTTGATAAACCAAACAAATATTAACGTTCTTTGGATTTTGTATTCATTTGTTGTAGGAAGAGAAGGCAAAGATGATCCAGACGTTGCTTTTTGTTTCTGGACTTAACACTTTGCTCCAAAGCTTCTTTGGGACTCGTCTTCCCGCGGTTATTGGAGCTTCTTATTCTTATGTACCGACCACGCTTTCGATCATCTTGGCTGGTCGGTACAGCGACATTACAGATCCTCAAGAGGTTAGTAGAAAAAAAGACTGAGAATGTTTCTGTTTCTGTGTCAGATTTTATCATTGATAGTGACAAAAAAACTGCAGAAATTTAAGAGGATCATGAGAGGGATTCAAGGTGCTCTTATCGTTGCTTCGATTCTTCAGATCGTTGTTGGCTTTAGTGGGCTTTGGCGCAATGTAGTTAGGTTAGTAAAGATGATTACTTTAAACCAAGATCCTTCTTTAGTTTCTCTTATGGTACTTTCTGACGATTGTTGTCTCTTTCTCTAGGCTCTTGAGTCCTCTCTCTGCAGTTCCTCTTGTAGCACTCGCCGGTTTTGGGCTTTATGAGCTCGGTTTCCCTCTGGTTTGTATTGCTCTAATCGCTCTCTCTCTTACGGTTTTATAGCATTGCTTTTGAGTACTGAGCTTGTTCTTTCTCTTGCAGCTAGCCAAATGCATTGAGATTGGATTGCCTGAGATCATCCTTCTACTCATATTCTCACAGGTTTTAAAAAATCTCCTTCTTGTTATTTCAAAAGACATCCCTTTAACCAGATTCATTATCTTGGGTTTTCTTTCTGCAGTACATTCCTCATCTCATGCGAGGAGAAAGACAAGTTTTCCATCGATTCGCTGTGATTTTCTCTGTAGTTATTGTCTGGATTTACGCACACTTTCTCACCATTGGTGGAGCCTATAAGAACACAGGAATCAACACTCAAACAAGTTGCAGAACAGATCGTTCTGGTCTCATTGGCGGCTCTCCATGGTAATGAGAATCATCTCTCTATCTTTGTGCATTTTCTTCTGATATTAAGTCTACATTTTGTATAAACTTGAACTGGTTGGTTCTTGATGATGCGAAGGATAAGAGTGCCTTACCCTTTTCAATGGGGACCTCCAACATTTCATGCTGGTGAAGCTTTCGCTATGATGGCTGTTTCATTTGTTTCCCTTGTTGAGGTTAAGACTTTTCTTTTTGCTACAACAACACTAAACACTTGACAGTAGTTTCATACTCTTAACTAGTTCATTGCGAGTGTTCATGTGCTTACTACTTGTAATTCATGGAAACAGTCTACAGGGACTTACATTGTTGTATCGAGGTATGCAAGCGCAACTCCTCCTCCACCGTCTGTGCTCAGCCGTGGAATCGGATGGCAGGTAATTTCATAAAACATTGATCTCAGATTTGTTAAGATTGTATATCTAAGCAAATGCATTTTATGTAATAGGGTGTTGGAGTTCTTCTCTGTGGACTATTTGGAGCAGGAAATGGAGCATCTGTATCGGTGTAAGCCTGGTTTCTTTAAAAAGAAACAGAGTATTTTGACCCTAAAACAAGTCTTTTGCTGCAAAATCCAATGGTTATTTCTTGCAGTGAAAATGCCGGTTTGTTAGCTCTAACACGCGTTGGTAGCAGAAGAGTAGTTCAAATATCAGGCAGTTTCATGATCTTCTTCTCTGTTCTTGGTAAATTTGGAGCAGTCTTTGCTTCGATTCCAGCTCCTATCTTTGCAGCATTATATTGCCTGTTCTTTGCATACGTTGGTATGTTTCTTGAAACGCTTTTCTTGTTATAAAAAAACTGCTATTTTGAAATCACAAATATCAAACCAACGAAATTGCAGGTGCTGGTGGTTTAAGCTTACTTCAGTTCTGCAATCTAAACAGCTTCAGAACAAAGTTTATACTCGGATTCTCGGTTTTCATGGGATTATCAATACCACAATACTTCAATGAGTATACAGCTATTAACAAGTATGGACCAGTTCACACAAGAGCAAGATGGGTAAAGAAAACAAACAAACATAATCTCCATTTTTATTTTTTTTATCAATATTCTCTCTGCTTATGATAATGCTGATTTTGTGTATCTTTAACAGTTCAATGATATGATCAATGTTCCATTCTCTTCTGAAGCGTTTGTGGCTGGGATTTTAGCGTTCTTTCTTGATGTAACATTGTCATCTAAAGACAGTGCAACGAGGAAAGACAGAGGGATGTTTTGGTGGGACCGTTTCATGTCGTTTAAATCGGATACTAGAAGTGAAGAGTTTTATTCTTTGCCTTTTAATCTTAACAAGTTTTTTCCTTCTATGTGATATTTGAAAAATTATGCTTAATATGAGTTCAATGGCTTGACCCTTACTTTACTCTGTATAACCTTTTGCATCTGACAACATTAAATTCTTAAATTAGGATAATTTCTAGTTCGTAAAAGCATGTACTAAAATACGGTTTCTAGTTCTATAGAGGAGGACAAAAGCAGAGCATTAGTACGTTAATTACTAGTCAAACTTTATGGGTTTTGTTATCAGTTTGCTTTAACGTAATTGAATTTCAAACTGAATATTCAAATCACCAACAAATATGTTAGAAACTGAACTAAAAACCTTACAATCTCTCAATCTCTTTCACAATTCAATAACTCTTGAAGAACACAAAGAGAATCAAAAGAAAAATGAACAAAGATACAAGAGAATTTGTTAATCCAATTTGATTTAATCGATGTGATTGAATCTATGTTTCGAACCCATCAATCCGGTAAATTCACTAACTCAAGAATGTTTATACGCTCCACTCGAGCTTAAAAATCAAGCCAATCGCAAGAACAACGATGACTGTTATAACTGATGAAGATGAAGTGTTAAAAATCCATGTTTTATACTTAAAGCTTTTACACAATATAAAAGATCCTATCGCGACTAGGGGCTTTGCTTTACTCTGTCTTCTTCAGCCAAACCAGATGAGTAAAACTATCTTTAAATCATTGGTTTACTCTTAACTTGATCAGAATAACTCAACACAACACTCCACCTTGATCCATTTTCTGACTTCTTATGCTAGTAGACTTGCACACCAGAATTTAACCTCGGCACAAAGACTTTACCATCTTAACCTGATCAGCTTGAGAAACTCCAAAGCTGAATTAAACTTCTTCACAAGAATGCCTTTTGTAAGCATATCTGCAGGATTTTCCAAAGTATGTATTTTCAGAACTTCTACACTTCCCTCTTCAATGATGTCTCGAATAAAGTTGAATTTGGTTGCCATGTGCTTCGTCCTTTTGTGAAAAGCATTATTCTTTGACAAACAAATTGCCGACTGAGAATCACACCAGACTGTAGCCTTTTTCTGACTTTAAACCAAATTGCATCCTCAATAGCTTCTGTAAAAGCAATATATTCTGCTTCTGTAATTGACAATGCTACGATTGGTTGCAAGCTTTACTTCCAGCTCACTGTATTACCTCCAATTTGAAACACGTAACCACTGATTATTATTCTCCTATCCAAGTCTGCTGCAAAATCTGAGTCGATATACCCTTGCACTCTGAAATCTTCACATTTTTTGTACACCAGATTCAAAGTAGTAGACCTTTTTAAATATCTCAATAACCATTTCAATGCTTCCCAGTGCATAGCTCCTGGTTTACTCATGAACCTGGTGATTAGCCCTATAGCATAAGCTACATCCGGACATGTACCAATCATTGCGTATATGACGTCACTAACAGCAATTGAATAAGGCATATTTTCCAAGCAACAGAATATCACATTCCTTCTGATAACACACTCCTCCTCATTAATCAGCCAAACCTTGTATCCCTTTGTGCCATGAGGATAACCCAAGAAAACACTTTTTAATGCTCTCAGCTTGAGCTTTCTTTGTTCCTAATGAATGTATGCTATAGAACCAAACCTCATCGAGTGCTTATACCTCGGTTTTTTGTTTAACCATAACTGTTTTGGCACATTATGATCAATCGCAAATGGTGGTGACCAATTAATCAAATAGACTGCTGTAGCAGCATCTTCAGTCCAAAACTCTTCAGCAAGACCGGACTCTGCAAGTAAACACCTGACCTTCTCCATCAGGGTTCTGTTCATCTATTCAGCTACACCATTCTGTTGTGGAATGTACGTCATGTGTCTCTTTATTCCAAGCTGTTTGCAGTGATAATTAAATCTTGTGTTACAGAACTCATTTCCATTTTATGTTCCCAACACCTTAACCTTCTTTTTAAACTGATTCTCAACGAGCTCCTTCCACTCGTAAAATTTATCAAATGTCTCACCTTTGGACTCTAGAAACATTAACCAGACCTCCTTCTCTTGTCATGGATGATGGACAGGAAATACTTCTTGCCTGAGAGAGATGGAATGTCATATGGTATGTGCAACCCGATTTACTGACCCACTGCTCCCTTGACTCCTGTTCATTTGCACTTAAAGCTTCTGAAAACACCAGCTTCTTTGTAATGTCACTAGCTTCACCTTGACCATCATTTTGATACTTTTTCTTCATGGCATAGCAATATTTTTTCATGTGTCCTTCCTTTTTGCAGAACCAACATGTAACCTTTGATTTAGAACTTGATATGTATCTACTGCGATCATGTTTCCCTTTAAAATCCTTCATTACAGACATTTCTCGATCTTCAGTTCATAGAGCCTATCCCTTGTTATTTCTTTGATCTTCATGGAACTCTCTTTCTCTGGATCTTGCTGATAAGATCACATCTTCTAGAGTCAGAGTCTCTCTTAAATACCTTAGAGTATGCTTGAGACTATCAAAACTTGGAGCAAGGGAAGTCAATAATAGAATTGCTTTCACTTCATCCTGAACAGCAATTTCGAGATTTCCCATCTCAGCCACAATCTTAATAAATTCATCAACTATTTGATCCACGGTCTTGGAATCTATCATATTGGATGAATAGAACTTCAACTGAAGATGAATTCGATTTGGCAATGAGCTTTCCGTATACAATCGATCCAACAACGCTCACATATCAACTGCAATCATACAATGGTTTATCTTGCAAAGAACCTAATTCCCGATCTTTGCAGTGATCAAGCTCATTGCTTTCTTATTATAATTGACCTTCACTGGATCTTCAATCACTTTAGTCAATGGGTCCGACAGTGTTCTAGTCGCTAATTTACTTGACTTAAGGTTTTCTGCTCATAATTCTATTGGCATCTATGTGTTGTGCCTTCCATCCTATTTTTCCTAATCAACACTCCTTTTTTGCAATATGGTAGCATTGAGGATCTCTAATAAAAATTTCCTCTGATGCTAGCAATGCAAATGCAAAAACAGTGTAATTTTTAAGCTTCTCTAGAATCTTGGTTTCCCTTTTACACCTATCACGAGCAATGTGATGAGATATACAAATTCACTTCTCTCAGGTGTTTGATTTTCTGATTCTGACTCGGCTTCAAACTCTTCTCAATCTGAATTACTTAAACTAACTGTAATAGCTCCATCTGCATCTAAACTCTATGTGGCTTCAGTGAAGACTGACCCTACCTCTTTACCAACCTCAACATCAGACACAAACTCTGTAAGTCTTATCAGATTTGAATACACTTGAGTAACCTTCTGAACTGTCTCTGGAAATTTCAGATCTTTGTAAGCTTGATCCTCACAGAATATTACATTCCTTCTGGTAACACACTCCTCCTCATTAATCAGCCAAACCTTGTATCCCTTTGTGCCATGAGGATAACCCAAGAAAACACTTTTTCATGCTCTCGGCTTGAGCTTTCTTTGTTCCTAATGAATGTATGCTATAGAACTAAACCTCATCGAGTGCTTATACCTCGGTTTTCTGTGTAACCATAACTGTTTTGGCACATTATGATCAATCGCAGATGGTGGTGAGAGATTAATCAAATAGACTATTGTAGCAGCATCTTCAGTCCAAAACTCTTCAGCAAGACCAGACTCTGCAAGTAAACACCTGACCTTCTCCATCAGGGTTTTGTTCATCCATTCAGCTACACCAGTCTATTATGGAGTGTAGGTTATGTGTCTCTTTATTCCAAGCTGTTTGCAGTGACAATTAAATCTAGTGTTACAGAACTCATTTCCATTGTATGTTCCCAACACCTTAACCTTCTTGTCAAACTAATTCTCAACGAGCTCCTTCCACTCGTAAAATTTATCAAATGTCTCACCTTTGGACTCTAGAAACATTAACCAGACCTCCTTCTCTTGCCATCAATGATGGACAGGAAATACTTCTTCCCTGAGAGAGATGGAGTCACATTAGGTGATCTTCACAGGTCTGCGTGAATGTAGCTGAGTGCCTCCTATGTGTTGTGCCTTCTCTTGTCATCGATGATGGACAGGAAATACTTCTTGCCTGAGAGAGATGGAGTCACATTAGGTGATCTTCACAGGTCTGCGTGAATGTAGCCGAGTGCCTCCTATGTGTTGTGCCTTCCAACATTGAAGCTGCATTTCTTTGACTTACTGAATGAAGGCTAGATCTTTAACTTAACTCTTCCAAGCAAACCTTTTCTAAACAATATTTTTATATTATTCAGACCCAAATGGCCTAAGCTACTGTGTCATAACGCTGTTTTATCCTTTGACAATTCTACATTGCAACCTTCACTTATCACTGTTCTACCATCTAAAATAGACAGACCATTATTTCGGCTCCCACACAATGCTAACTTCCGATTCTTAAAGAAGCTAACTACACCATCTCCGCCTGAATGTGTATATCCCATCTTGTCTAAGGTTCCAGTAGATATCAAATTCCTTCTAAGATTAGGTACATACCTCACGTTATTAAGGACTTTGATTATGCCATCGTTGCTCTTTAACCTCACGAACTCACACCCTTTTGACTCAATCGTATGGTCATCTCAAAGTAGTATCATGGTTCTTACAATTTCATTAAAATCTGAGAACCAATCCATTCTGGATGTCATGAGGTATGTGCAACCTGATTTACTGACCCACTGCTCCATTGACTCTTGTTAATTTACACTTAAAGCTTCTGAAAACACCAGCTTGTTTGTAATGTCACCAGCTTCACCTTGACCTTCATTTTGATACTTTTTCTTCATGGCATAGCAATCTTTCTTCACGTGTTCTTCCTTTTTGCAGAATCAACATGTAAACTTTGATTTAGAACTTGATATGCTTCTACTGCGATCATGCTTCCCTTTAAAATCCTTCATTACAAACATTTCTCGATCTTCAGTTCATAGAGTTTATCCCTTGTTATTTCTTTGACCTTCATGGAACTCTCTTTCTCTGGATCTTGCTGATGAGATCACATCTTCTAGAGTCAGAGTCTCTCTTAAATACTTCAGAGTATGCTTGAGTCTATCAAAACTTGGAGCAAGGGAAGTCAATAATAGAATTTCTTTCACTTCATCCTGAATAGCATTTTCGAGATTTCCCATCTCAGCCACAATCTTAAGTAATTCATCAACTATTTGATCCACGGTCTTGGAATCTATCA